TCTTTATTCTTTTAGCCCTTTATTTTGCACATAATGCTCATTATTCTCTATTCTGTAAACCCCATTCAGACCCTCTTGTATTGCTTCGTTTGTACCAGCGCTAGTTAATTGATTCTATTCCTCACACAAAAACTGGCAAGCGGTACTCTTCCCTGTTATAGTCATACGCTGTGTTTGTAATGTCCGAATCATGAAATGTCATTTTCACTGTATCCGTGATGAATTTCTGATGTAGAATGATAAATAAACAGACGAGAAATTCATGCTTTTTGAATAAAATAAGAAATAATATATAATGTGCACTGTTTTTATAAATTCATGATATACGTATGAAATTTTCATCGCGCCTACAGCCATCCATGTACAAAATTGATACACAAATAAATAAATATTAAGAGCAGTTCACGAACAGAGCGTGCAAGAGATTTAAAAGTAGCAGTTAAGTTTCATTTGCAGAAAAATGTAACTTTTAAAATAATTATCAATGTTGTTTAACTTAAAACAGGTTTTGTTATTCAGCTTGTTGATATTGAATCAAATTCCACTATGCTGTTTTCGTTATTTAATTCATGTTTAATGTCGAACAATGACACTGGACTTTCATTTTCACTGTAGAGCGATTCATTTTTATTGTATATGCGATGCATTTTCACAGAAGGAAGTTAATTAATTTTCATTATACAAAGTCTTGATTCAGCCGAATCTCTAACAAAATTTAAGAAGTCAGAAGGATTGATAATATATACATACAATCATACCACATCTTCTTATATCTATTTAGTGAGTGAAAATCTGAGGTAATATATTAATGAACTCCTTAAAAGTGGCATTTATTGCTAATATAGTCAATTCTATTTTCTCTAATAATTTGTCCAGATCCAGATCTATATGTAGGATAAAACTTTTCCTTTCCAATGACACGCCATCATTGCATACATATATCTTGGACAGTTAGGCCAATCCACGTCACCGAAAAAGCAAAGTTTCTGTATCGGTCTAAATCTACATCGCATACTAATAAATTAAACGTTATTAGAGCTATTTTCCTAATGCATGTACTTAAAAGGTGTGATTGGCTTGCTTGCTTAAATGTTTGCTTAAGCATTGTAATTAAGATTGAGCAAACATTTATACAAAAAAGCGAGCAAGCCAACCAAACCTTTAAACTACAAGCATTGGGAAAATAGCTCTAATGGATGCATTTTAGATAACAAAGAGCATTCACAAAACGATCTTCATTTCACAATTGAATGAGTGGAAACGTATTCATCTTGCACAAACAATTGTCGCTTGGATGACTGGATAATTGATATGTATCATGACATTATGTATACGCCTAATACAGTAAAGAAAGTTCAAGCAACAGTCGAGTCACCTTAATTTATGTTTTAATTTCTTTTAAGTCCGTGTTACAAATAAGCAAATACCCAATTGTAAGAATACAAGGAAATATTGCAAACAGTTTATTGATATATGTTTAAATGGTTCTAACCTTTACTTTTACAAATTGTGACTTGATTGGGGAGTTAGCTCATTGCCACTCATACCACATCTTCTTATATCTATACCACGGGGTATAACCGCCGTACAGTTGATTCCGGACGTTAATCGCTACTCTTCGCGATGTAGGTAGATAGACCATTCTTATATTTTCACCAAAGGCTAATTGACGCAATGTTCAGATAAGTATTTAATGTTTACTAAAACAAAGTTTACTCTCCTGGCAGCATTGTATATTATTTGTATTACATGAACACCATGTGACTATTTTAGATAGACAGGTATGTGAATTACTTGTAAACATCGCGAAACAAACACTCTGTGTAACTCAAACTTGATTAAACTACAAATAGAGCATAGTTGGTGGGCGCTTACACTAATGCGACCGTGTATTTTGTGATTTGTTGTTGTTAAAAATACATAATGCGAATTATAAACCCCTTCTTTTAATTATTTTTGAAGACATTTACTTGAAAAACTGACCTCAAGATTTTGGCACTGTACGATTCATTCTCTTTGCAGTTTTTTTAATTTCTTTAGTACCATTCGTTGTACATTCTTGTACTGTTCGTTGTGCAAAAGCCTATCAATATGGTAGAAATATGTATGACACGGCGTGACAAATTTTCAAAGCTTTTTTAAGCGAATTCTAAAACTTTTAAAGGAAAATTCGCCGTAGAAATACGTTATATTCATAAATACTCTGCTCCAGTAAATTTTCGGATCCATGACAAGCTAATAACAAACTCACCAACAATATTTGAATATGCATGATATGAACGTGGTTATACCCGTGTATATTTAAGTAGGCATCTACGACTAGCTTGCATTTCAAATTGTAAATATCATCAATATTAAAGTCATTTAAATACTATTTTCAGTTGTTGCATGTCGAATTAACATATAAAATAACAATGAAAATTCATCGCAACTTCAATAATTCTACATCAGAAATGATTGCACTTACAGTGATAATTCATCGCATCTAAAGTTAAAATGAATCGCATACAAAAATTCATATTATCGATTCTGCTGCTTTAATTACACTTTTTTGGACTTTAATCCTGTTATTGTGATAGGGTCTTATAAGGGCTTTTAATTATAGACTCCAACTGGTTCAAATACTTTATTATGTACCAGGAAAATGTAACTCTGCAAAACAATAGCAAATATCATAAGCAATTTTACAAACTTGTGTTACATAGCATTATTAAACACAAGCAATATTAAACACTAGTATGATTAAACACAATCATGATAAACTTGTGTCACAATTACAAATAGCTAATTTAAAAGTACATATCAAAGTTTCGGATTGCATTGCAATCTACACAACCGTGCTTCATTTTAGAAAGCGTCAATACGCTTTACAATTTCAATGTAGAATTATTAAAATGTGCCGAAAGAGAAATAGAATAAAATACAATTTCGTTGCCAATTTGGCTGTGAAAGCAACTATTACAAAATGAACAATCTATAAAGAATAAGGAATTAATCCTTACCAATATGTGGGATTGAGTTATCAAAATCCACTGCCATAAACACTAATACAATTATTCCAGGACACTATATGGTATGTTCTGAAAATAATATACGATTATAAATACCCATGTTCAAAATGAACATTCAAAATACTGTGACAAAGTCTATTCAATTTCAGGCCAATTAAAAACATATAAATTAAGTGATATGTCATCTTGACAAAACAATAAATTAAATTCAACAATTTCAAAAGATACACAAGAAGAGCTATATTTACAATAGATGAAATCGTAATAATTCTAAGCTTGTAAATTATGAGATGTACTCTTAAACACTTAGTTACAAAAATGTGAGAATTATTCTAACCAAAATATAGTTCAAAATATATGACCGGAAAGAGCACTACTTTACAAAATGTATAAAACTTACCGTCAAAAATGTTCAAAAAGGTCCAGAATAATAGTCAGGTACAAATAACATCTAACTTCAAAGAAAGTTCCAAATAATATAAACCTCACAATGAAAACCGTAAGTGAAATAGCAAGACAGAGCCAATAGAAAATAATGTACAAATTACCCAATGAATACCATCGAAAAGTCCAATGCGGCAGAACTTAAATGTACTCACTGTACTAACCAATAGTACATGAAAACGTCATACCTGCACTGCAGTACTAACTGTATGGGGTTCAATACAGGATAACCATATGCTTCAATGGTCAATTATTCATTACACCATAGCGGGGACTAAATTTGGAAAACGGAAAGCTATAGCGTAATGAGTTCAGAAAATGTCTTCAAAATATTTTAACAACTTTAGATCAAATCAAATATTTTTATAGTTTATTGAAATAATTCGCTGAAATGGAAAATTGGTTAAGTTATCAAAATACAAAGTAAAATATAAAAAGAATACTATAAATCGCTGCCACATTATTATACATTAAAAAATTATATTCTAATGAAATTGTGTTAAAACATACATTCAAATCAATTATTTTGTATTTTCAAAAGGTAAACAAACGCAGATTTTCCCATCATCCTTTATTCTACAATAGACATACTCGCATACAACAGTGAAAATGAACTAACTGGATTCGCACTTTATATCACTACAAACCAGTAAAAGTCTGAAATGGCCTATATCTGTACTCGACTGTACTGATTTTTACTCGACCAGTCTGAATTGGTCTGAATTTTACTCGACATTACTCGACCCCAGTCTTAACCATACTCGACCGTACTAATTTGTACTTGACCCTTATCTTTGCCATTGAAAATAGTCTGAACTATTACTCGACCAGTCTGAAACAGTCTTGACCCATTCTCGACCTGTACTCGACCAATTTTTTCAGTCTAAACCATACTCGACCAAAGGTCTGAACAATACTCGACCAGTCTGAACCATACTTGACCAAAAAACCAATACTTTTTTTTTAATTTTAGCTGTTAAAATTAATTTCTTTTTTTCTGACATGACAACAGCCACAATAAAATAAAGGTATATATAAAAACATATTTTTACATCCTTACATGATTCTCAGATTTATCAAATTGAGATAGTTCAATTAAATTATCTTATATAATAATTTAATTATATTAATTTTAAAGTTTTAGAGTTTTGTTAAAAAAAAGATTTTCTTTTAACTAAAAACCACACCTTTACTGAGGGTAATAAACCTTATTAAGGTGCTTCTTGTTTGGCATGTGTTTTTTTTTTTTTTTTTAAACTTAATTTTCCTAAATTCCTAAAGAACAAGAGTGCACACGCTGAAATGTCTCGCCTTCTTTACTAATCATTGATATTATGTTGATAGACCTAAATATAAAGCTTTATTACAACTGTTACATAAACTTAACATTAACCAAGTAAACTAAACATTGACCAATGAACCATGAAAATGAGGTCAAGGTCAGATGAACCATGGCAGGCATGTACAGCTAACAATTCTTCCATACAACAAATATAGTTGACCTATTGCTCATAGTTTAAGAAAAACAGACAATTACACAAAAACGTAACACTGAGCAATGAACCTTGAAAATGAGGTCAAGGTCAAATAAAACCTGCGTGACTGACATATAGATCATAAATTATTTCCATACACCAAATATAGTTGAACTATTGCATATAGTATTAGAAAAAAAGACCAAAAACTCAAAAACTGAACTTTGACCACTGAACCATGAAAGTGAGGTCAAGGTCAGATGACACCTGCCAGCTAGACATGTACACCTTACAATCATTCCATACACCAAATATAGTAGACCTATTGCATACAGTATAAGAAAAACAGACCAAAACACAAAAATTTAACTTTGACCACTGAACCATGAAAAGGAGGTCAAGGTCAGATGACACCTGCCAGCTAGACATGTACACCTTACAATCATTGCATACACCAAATATAGTAGACCTATTGCATACAGTATAAGACAGTATAAGAAAAACAGACCAAAACACAAAAAACTTAACTTTGACCACTGAACCATGAAAATGAGGTCAAGGTCAGATGACACCTGCCAGCTAGACATGTACACCTTACAATTATTCCATACACCAAATATAGTAGGCCTATTGCATACAGTATAAGAAAAACAGACCAAAACACAAAAACTTAACTATAACCACTGAACCATGAAAATGAGGTCAAGGTCAGATGACACCTGCCAGTTGGACATGTACACCTTACAGTCCTTCCATACACCGAATATACTAGACCTATTGCTTATAGTATCTGAGATATGGACTTGACCACCAAAACTTAACCTTGTTCACTGATCCATGAAATGAGGTCGAGGTCAAGAGAAAACTGTCTGACGGGCATGAGGACCTTGCAAGGTACGCACATACCAAATATAGTTATCCTATTACTTATAATAAGAGAGAATTTAACATTACAAAAAATCTTAACTTTTTTTTCAAGTAGTCACTGAACCATGAAAATGAGATCAAGGACATTGGACATGTGACTGACGGAAACTTCGTAACATGAGGCATCCATATACAAAGTATGAAGCATCCAGATCTTCCACCCTCTAAAATATAAAGCTTTTAAGAAGTTAGCTAACGCCGCCGCCGCCGGATCACTATCCCTATGTCGAGCTTTCTGCGACAAAAGTCGCAGGCTCGACAAAAACTATATAAGTTTCATGGTTACATACAATAATTATTTAATTATCTTTTTAATGAGGAAACAACAGCCAAAAAATCACTGAAATTGTTTAACCTTATATTAGAAATATATCTATTCTTATTATAATTTGGGATATATTATATATAATATATATCAAAAAGGGATAAAAAAATTAAAGAAAATTTTCTTCTGATTAGTGGTAAAGTATAAAGTAATACCTCCTGCTTGGGGCAAACTCATTAAAAAGATCACACCTGGTCAGAGAGTATTAATTTCTAATTAGCATTCATTAAAAATTGCAACATCCAGCTGTAAAACTAAAATCGCAAGGCCTTTTGAATTCACTAGATAAGTAATACACGAGTTTAAGAAAAAAAAGGGCTTTCTTTTTACCTGTAAAACACACATGTACTGAGGTAATTAAACCTTAATAAATTGCTTCTTGTCTTTAATTTTGATAAAAGTTATTTAAATTTAATTGAAATAAATTTTTTCTGCAACTTTGGAACACATTTCCTTTTTTAAATGGTTATCAAGGATTGCTATGGAAGTTCTATTATCATGATTATATTAAATTCTTGGTTTTACAAAACAAAGGTGTGATTTTTAAAATTTATTAAGTTGCTTTATATACTATTTTAAATATATTTTAATAAAAAAAATGTTCACTGCATTATTAACTAAACTCAACTGACTCCATAAATCTATACAAGGCTTAAGTTAATGGTGAAAATTGTCCAGTAACCATAAAATATATCTGAAACATTCAAAAAACTTTGAATAACATTGAAAATATTAGTCACAATTCAGTTTTGAGATTATTTGATCAGCTTGTTTTATTTTTATTTTAAAGGTGATATATATATGTAAGTGTTGATAAATATGGTGTTGAATTTATATTATGTTTATTGTGAAATTTTGGTTTCAATGCCATATTGAATACATTTTAAATTTCAAATTGTTGTTCAAATTTCTAGCCAGGGGAAATAGCTGTTAAAAACAGTTCCTAAATTGATGAAATACAATAGATAGATACAAAAATTAGGTCTAGGTTGGTTAAGGCTTAGTTGAGTATGGTTCAGACTATGTCGAGTATGGTTCAGACTAGGTCGAGCATGGTTCAGACTAGGTCGAGCATGGTTCAGACGAAAATTAAATGGTTAAGTACTGGTCGTGTAAAGGTCGAGTACAAGTTCAGACTGTTAAGTATGGTTCAGACTACAGTCGAGTATTATCAAGTAAATTTCAGACCAATTCAGACTGGTCGAGTAAAAATCAGTACAGTCGAGTACAAATATAGGCCATTTCAGACTTTTACTGGTTTGTAGTGTATACACTGCTTGAAAATAAGGAACCTGCAAGATGCGTTGTTTGTCTCTGTGAAGTTTTGTATGAATTCGGCTACATAGATACAAAAAAAAAAAATCGATAAGGTGGGATGCACTGTGGCAACAACTGACCTTAACCGTTTGTTGAAATATCAATGTAAAAGAAGTGGTCAAATCATTCAGAAAGTTATTATATTCTATGTAATTAGTGTTAAGTTCTTCTTAAGGCAGTTTTCTTCGTGACCTTAAGAAAGAAATGCTCATTTACGATTCCCATTCTTTTTGAAAAATCAGAGCCGTATGAGTAAATGGCCATCGTACAATGAGCATGAGAAATAAAAGTGTAGAGAGTGCAAACAGCAAAAAGTAATTTTACAAATTACAATTGTAATGTTTTAATGGTTACGGTTGAAGACAATAAAGTAAATGTTTATAATTGTAAAGATTCCGCATCTGATTGACACCACTGTGTTTCAATTTTCACAAACACAGTGAAAAGTGAAACTTCGGTTTGTATTAAGATATGAATGTGTCATAAGTGGGAGGCGCTTTCATTTATTTTATGACTTTTAGGAACAGTTATAACTTATAAATCAACCGATATATTATAGTCTAAGTCAATTATTTTCGGCAGATTACACTTTAAAATTTAACCTTTGATGTCGTTTTTGGGATGATATAGATTTAACCTATGATGTCATTCTAGGGGTAATCTAAATTTTACCTATGATGTCATGTTTGGGGTGGTATAGATTTAATCTTTGATGTCATTCCTGGGGTGATAAAATTTAACCTATGATGTCATTCCAGGGGTGATGTAGATTTAACCTTTGATGTCATTCTTTGGGTGATATAGATGTTACCTATGACGTAATTACTGTGGTTATATAGATTTAACTTATGGCGTCATTCTTTGTTGAAATAGATTTAACCTATAATATTATTCCTGGGGTGATATAGCCACTTGTGGAGCAGGATCTGCTTGCACTTCCGGAACACCTGATATCACCCCGGTTTGATGCGTGTTGGTATATTTTTACTGGAACAAAATAAGTATACGTAACTCTTTAAAAGAATTAAAGAGTTCCTCATGTTGAGTTAAAAATGCTTTTCCCCTTCTGTTTTAGTCGTAACGGTGTTGCCGATTCATTGTACATTATATCGTTTGACTAAGATATTTTAATTCGAAACATTAGAGTACCTTAGATCACCCCCGGTGTTTTGTAGGGTTCGTGTTGTTCAGTCTTTAGATTTCTACGTTGTGTTTTGTGTACTGTTTTGTGTACTGTTGTTTGTCTTTTCATCTTTTTTTGTTTTTGCCATATCATCATCCATTTGTTTTTGCCATATCATCATCCATTTGTTTTTGCCATATCATCATCTTGTTTTTGCCATATCATCATCCATTTGTTTTTGCCATATCATCATCCATTTGTTTTTGCCATATCATCATCCATTTGTTTTTGCCATATCATCATCCATTTGTTTTTGCCATATCATCATCCATTTGTTTTGGACTTATGCGTTTGAATATCACTTTGGTATCTTTCGCCTCTCTTTTGGTCCACATTCTTTGCCTTTGACAGTTTACTGTTTTGGGTGAATTTCAGCTGTGAACTAGTTTCTTTTTCAAATAAATTCTCTGACTGATTTTCCGCATTGTATTGATGTCAATTTTTCTGCTTTTTCGTTCATATTCTTAACTGATGAAGAAAAAAATAGGACTCTTCTTTGTATTGATACATATCAACTTACCCTTCCGGAGCAATTGAGATCAGCGCAGTGTTTTGGGTGGGATTTGTGTTGCGCAGTCTTTAGTTTTCTATGTTGTGGTTTGTGTCCTGTTGTTTGTCTTTTGGTCGTTTTTCGTTTTTTTGCCATGGCATTGTCAGTTTATTTTCGACATATGAGTTTGAATGTCCCTTTGGTATCTTTCGGATCTTTTATATATATATAAGTAAAGGGTTTTACAACCAGACTCAAGCTAGCGAACAATAAGCCAGCGAACAATAAGGTGTATCAAGCTAGCGAACAATAAGCCAACGAACAATAAGAAATACGCGCCAAACTGATCTTGCCTAAAAACCAAAGACTTGCATTAACATGAAACGTTCTTTGAAATCTGATGACAATCATTTCCAGTAGGAAGACGAAATGCAATACATTTTCAAAAAGACTATTAATTGAAAATAAAATTGTTTATTTATCTATTTATTTATTTATATATTCAAGACAATATAATTGTTCTTGACCACAGGACATCTCTTGTAGGATTTTCAAAATTCCTTTTAGGTTCTCCTCTCCCTTTTTTGATTACCTTTGAGTAGAAACAGTTTGTCTTTATAATCATGATAATAGTGAATAAATAAAAAAAATAGACCATACTTAACTAGTGTAAAGATAAAATTAAATCCACATGCTTATATTCTTTTTAAAAGAAAACAAAATACAGATTTTGGAACGTAAAGTACAGAATTTTGAAGTCAGAATTATAAGTTGAAATAAAAGCTAATAAATATCCACAGTTTTCGTTAGGAATGATTAAAAACTGGCAATTTATTTATAACATTTCAATAGGAAATGCGTTTTATGTGACATTGACACACGTGACACGATATCTGAATGGATATAAAGATTTTAGCTACTTTAACAGACAAAATTTTCAAATCAAAGCTTTTCAAGGAGGTATATTTAAAAAAAACTCGGGAAACAGACGGAAAAACCGAAATCAGAAGAACAATTTCTTTACACTGATTTAAATTAACAAGAAGAGGATGCAATCACTACAATACAAACTATTTCATTTTAACATTGGAATTATAATCGGGGAAACGGTCCAAAGTTGGGGTAGGGTGACCCAACCCCCTCCCTTCTTTAATTCATATAAAAGTCCCTACGGCAAAGCTTTTGTCCACACTAGGTACAAATGATAGACAATTGCCTAAGGTTGCCTGGACCCAAAAACCCAGGTGGGTAAAGTTACGGAACTTTTTTAATTGAGGTCCAAAGTTGGGGTAGGATGATCCAACCCCCTCCCTTCTTTAATTCATAAAAAAGTCCCTACGGCAAAGCTTTTGTCCACACTAGGTACAAATGATAGGCAATTGCCTAAGGTTGCCTGGACCCAAAGACCCAGGTGGGTAAAGTTACGGAACTTTTTTAATTGAGGTCCAAAGTTGGGGTAGGGTGACCCAACCCCCTCCCTTCTTTAATTGATAAAAAAAGTCCCTACGGCAAAGCTTTTGTCCACACTAGGTACAAATGATAGGCAATTGCCTAAGGTTGCCTGGACCCAAAGTCCCAGGTGGGTAAAGTTACGGAACTTTTTTAATTGAGGTCCAAAGTTGGGGTAGGGTGACCCAACCCCCTCCCTTCTTTAATTCATAAAAAAGTCTAAAATTCCAATTAAGTAATCCTTTCTCTTTTAAGTGCTCTCTGATTAGAGATGGGTTTGTTGTTGTTTTTATAATAATGAAACAATTAATAACAATAGTTCACACTAAACTAGTGTACATGTAACGATACAAATAAATTTTCTACTTTACATATGCGTTTGAAAAGAAAAGAAAAATAAATCGAATGATTTTGGAACGTCCAGCATTTTTTGTTAGATTTTCTTTAGAAATAAAAGCATTATACGCGGTTTTCTTCTTTTGTCAAAGAACTAGTTCATTTTTCTAATTATTCAAAAGTATGTCGTCACTCTGGTAATGTATTTACTATATTTCGATAGGAAGAGTGATAAGACTTAGTGTAAGAGTGGCACCCAAATAGAACGAGAAACGAATTGACATAAAGATTTTGGTCCAAAGTTGGAGTAGGGTGACCCTACCACCACCCAATTTTAATTCATAAAAAAGTCCCTACGGCAAAGCTTTTGTCCACACTAGGTGAGGGGGTCCAAAGCTGGAGTAGGGTGACCCTACCACCACCCAATTTTAATTCATAAAAAAGTCCCTACGGCAAAGCTTTTGTCCACACTAGGTACAAATGATAGGCAATTGCCTAAGGTTGCCTGGACCCAAAGACCCAGGTGGGTAAAGTTATGGAACTTTTTTAATTGAGGTCCAAAGTTGGGGTAGGGTGACCCTACCACCACCAAATTTTAATTCATAAAAAAGTCCCTACGGCAAAGCTTTTATCCACACTAGGTACAAATGATAAACAATTGCTTAAGGTTGCCTGGACCCAAAGACCCAGGTGGGTAAAGTTACGGAACTTTTTTAATTGAGGTCCAAAGTTGGGGTAGGGTGACCCTACCCCCACCCAATTTTAATTCATAAAAAAGTCCCTACGGCAAAGCTTTTGTCCACACTAGGTACAAATGATAGGCAATTGCCTAAGGTTGCCTGGACCCAAAGACCCAGGTAGGTAAAGTTACGGAACTTTTTTAATTGAGGTCCAAAGTTGGGGTAGGGTGACCCTACCAGCACCCAATTTTAATTTATAAAATAGTCCCTAAGGCAAAGCTTTTGTCCACACTAGGTACAAATGATAGGCAATTGCATAAGGTTGCCTGAACCAAAGACCAAGGTGGGTAAAGTTAAGGAACTTTTTTAATTGAGGTCCAAAGTTGGGGTAGGGTGATCCCACCTGGGTCTTTGGGTCCAGGCAACCTTAGGCAATTGCCTATCATTTGTACCTAGTGTGGACAAAAGCTTTACCGTAGGGACTTTTTTATGAATTAAAGAAGGGAGGGGGTTGGGTCACCCTACCCCAACTTTGGACCTCAATTAAAAAAGTTCCGTAACTTTACCTACTTGGGTCTTTGGGTCCAGGCAACCTTAGGCAATTGCCTATCATTTGTACCTAGTGTGGACAAAAGCTTTGCCGTAGGGACTTTTTTATGAATTTAAATTGGGTGGGGGTAGGGTCACCCTACCTCAACTTTGGACCTCAATTAAAAAAAGTTCCGTAACTTTACCCACCTGGGTCTTTGGGTCCAGGCAACCTTAGGCAATTGCCTATCATTTGTACCTAGTGTGGACAAAAGCTTTGCCGTAGGGACTTTTTTTATGAATTAAAGAAGGGAGGGGGTTGGGTCACCCTACCCCAACTTTGGACCTCAATTAAAAAAGTTCCGTAACTTTACCTTCTTGGGTCTTTGGGTCCAGGCAACCTTAGGCAATTGCCTATCATTTGTACCTAGTGTGGACAAAAGCTTTGCCGTAGGGACTTTTTTATGAATTTAAATTGGGTGGGGGTAGGGTCACCCTACCTCAACTTTGGACCTCAATTAAAAAAGTTCCATAACTTTACCCACCTGGGTCTTTGGGTCCAGGCAACCTTAGGCAATTGCCTATCATTTGTTCCTAGTGTGGACAAAAGCTTTGCCGTAGGGACTTTTTTATGAATTAAAATTGGGTGGTGGTAGGGTCACCCTACTCCAACTTTGGACCAAAATCTTTATGTCAATTCGTTTCTCGTTCTATTTGGGTGCCACTCTTACACTAAGTCTTATCACTCTTCCTATCGAAATATAGTAAATACATTACCAGAGTGACGACATACTTTTGAATAATTAGAAAAATGAACTAGTTCTTTGACAAAAGAAGAAAACCGCGTATAATGCTTTTATTTCTAAAGAAAATCTAACAAAAAATGCTGGACGTTCCAAAATCATTCGATTTATTTTTCTTTTCTTTTCAAACGCATATGTAAAGTAGAAAATTTATTTGTATCGTTACATGTACACTAGTTTAGTGTGAACTATTGTTATTAATTGTTTCATTATTATAAAAACAACAACAAACCCATCTCTAATCAGAGAGCACTTAAAAGAGAAAGGATTACTTAATTGGAATTTTAGATGTCCGGTTAAAAAAAAGTTGTATTAGATACACGAATAACTAATTAACTTTGTCTGTGTTAAAATGGAATTGCATTTCGTTCTCCTACTGGAAATTATTGTCATTAGAATTAAAAGGACGTTTTGTGTTATTGCAAGTCTTCGGTTTTTAGGCATGATCATGTTGGCGCGTTTTCTTATAGTTCGCTAGCTTGATGCATCTTATTGTTCGCTGGCTTAGTGTTCGCTAGCTTGAGTCTGGTGGTTTTACATCATAGTTTGAAAGCATCATGCGTTCCTTGCATTTTATTTATTTAATTTTATTCATTTTTTTTAACCCTCCTTTTTTTTAAACTAGAAAATAATCAAACTTATATTGTATTAAATTTATTATTCTTACTAAAATCCAATTTACAGAGCATGCTCCAGGTATTCATAATTTTCTATGTCATATTTGTTGGAGACAGATTAAAGTAAGCAATGTTGTTCGTATCTGGATTCTATTTGTTAATAATCATGCACCATCTTATGTATCTTGATTTACTTTCGTCGAATAACATATTGTTTTGACTATTCAGCGATTTATCAGACTTTTAAAATTCAAAAAGTACATAGGAGATAAAGTTATATTGTTCGAAGATATGGAGTTTTTATGGTCGCAAACTGAGTTAAATCATACTTTTTTTTTAAATCATGAACATAGCGTTTTACGCTTGTGAGCTCAATTCCAGAAAGTCCATTGATGAAGTGATGCCCTTTTTCTGTTATCCAATCAAAATGAACATAATAAACAGTTACATTTGAAATTTTATTAGATCGAAAACACGTTGTGCATGAAAAAAAGGTCAATTGTAGCAGTGTTGTTGCTAACAATATAAGGACGCTTTCAAATGTTTTGTAAGAAACAATTATTTACACTTTGGATTTGTATATTTTTATCTGTGTTTTGTGTTAAATATTTTACATCTGCAATTAAAAAGAAAGATAGACAATTGGATACTAATTTGAGGAAATAGATGCAAGAATTCTTACATTTATTCGTATCATGATAACATGAAACTTTATAAACTAGCAATAAAAGCGCCTGAAAGCGTTTTGTTAAAACTTGCTGATATTTAAAAACAAATATTTTCATTTTCTTTTACAGTCAGTGTGTTGTTTGATAATTGTATTTCTGGCGGCAATTTTTCGTCCTGCATTTAGCAGCGAAAATACCGACATCTATCTGATTCAGGATAATGTGGATCCGATTGGGGTAACAGGTAATTATACATTTACCGTTTGATACAGTTTATAGTATATTGTAGTATATGTAATATACTGACAGACAATGTAGAACTTTCAATGTAAATTTGAAAAGATTTAGTGATTTACATGGAATTAACTCACGGGTGCATTTGTATACTTAATACAAGCAGAAAAGTAAAAAAAATCAAAGAGAAATGAGAAACAAAATACTTAATAAATTATATCATTATGTATTATACATAGTATTCAAATAAATTTCAACGACTGTGTGTTACAATTGTATTCATAAGAAGGCAAACAAAATATAATCTTCTTTCATGAGCCCAGTTCAAGGTTAATAAACATGCCTCGATGACACTTTTCTATTTTCGATAAATGTTATGGAACTAAATATGATAGTCATGCATAGTAAAATATGCATATCAAACAGTTACTTCGATACATTATCATAAAAAGTACGTATAAATTGATAAAAAAGAAAATCATACATTGTACGAAAGTGAAATTAAGAAATTTTGATTCTACCCATTTTCAAAATCTATGTAAATTAACCAGTTCGCAGAAAAATAAAACCTTTTATGTCCACCTTTAGCTTGAGCATGAATAAATAAAATAAAAATAAATGGTTATTAAACATTGAGACAGAAACCTAAGGAAATCAATAAAAGCAACTAAATGTCAAAATACAGTTATCTATCTACATACAGGTGTCTATTCAGAAGGTGCAGTTCTTAACCGCGCAATATGTAATTTACCTTTAAATGTTATATTTCGTAGTGTTTTTATATCTGTATATATGTTTTATCTTATTTATGACGATATATTTCACATGTGTAGGATCTACAGGTATAGGATCATTTTTACCACTATTCTTGCCCATATTTGTAATGATGATGCCAGTCAGAATGGCAGATGGCACGATGATGACTCTGATGCAAATGATGATGATGAGCCCTACAACAACACCTAGTACTTCCCCAGCAACACCAACTACAATGAAAGTGACACCTCAGAGTAAGTGTACAATTTAAGAAATAATTCATGGAAGCCATAGATTTGTTGGAAATTTACACATGGCCCAGGCCATGTGTAAATTTACAACAAATCTATGGCTTCCATGAATTATTTCGATTCTAATAGGACAAATACGGTCATTACAAAACTGAAGCGGGGGTGGGTTTGCCGTGTGTGTGGCTTTTCCTTTTTACTCCCTGTTAGATAAAGCTACACCATTCTAATAAATCTGTAGCTTGCATGAATTATTTCGTAGATAACCGCCAGAAAAAATGTGTTTAGTTCTTTTAATTATCAAATCCTACATTTGCCATTTTTAATTAACTTGTTTTTCTCGTAAGCTACCGTCAAATCCAAAGTTGACATTTCGTAACTTAGGAGCCGCCATGTTGACTTACTGAAATTCGTTAATATGCAAATAATGCAATAGGGTAGAAAATAAAACAAACCCTACCTCAAAATCCATTTTAATGCAACGAACTTCGATGGTTAACGTAACGGAAAACCTTCAGCTTTAGCGTTTTCATTTGTATGAGGTCATGTTTTGAAATCATGGGACTTAAATGCGCCAAAAGCATTAATGGACTTTCGCGGAATTTTATTTTATTTTTATTTTATAGATTTCTCTGAGCTCTAGTGCATTAATTCATTTTGTTATGCATCCGAATAAGAATAGAAGTTCTGTAGTCTTTTTCCTATTGCAATTTTTAAAACAATAAAATCGGAATAGCGTTTGCAAATAGGTTCCGATACATGTGGATTTACGTAGGAGGTATTTTGTAACATCCATATCTCGGAGTCTGCGCTAAGTATAGATATATCGAGTATTTTATCACGGTGTTGTTTACAAAGCGAAAGCAGCACGTCATATTAGAATCTAATATGACGCCCTTTTAACGTTTTGGGTCACAAAGGGGAACAATAAGAATATATTGTATGTCAGCTGATTGCCAACATTGTAATTTGTTTTGGAAGTCGAAATATACCCCATGTTGTAGACAGTGATAAATAAATACGGAAACATATATATACAAACGATGTAGTCAATTTTTGACAGCACGATATCTGAAATAAAACTCAGATTTATAAAAATTCTATCAGTTAGTAAATCAGTATTTATTTACAATAAAACTTCTTCTAAAATGCTGGCAGTACCAACGAGTGCCAGTTTTATTTAAAATTGGAACATTAGTACAATGAAAAATAATTTGAATGAAGATTTAAAATTGTGTACTACAACAAACCTTACTAGCATCTTTATAACCGCCTGTAATTGAAAAATTGTTTAACCTTTTTACTAGTTAATTTTTCTAAGCCTTACAGTCAATAAGTGTAGTTCGTTCAATGAAAAAAAAAAAAAAAAACAGCAC